AGGGATGCTGTGGAAATGCGTGAGAAACTCTTGGTCTCTGTTTTTCCAGTGTCTTTCTGGAAGGGAACTGCCTGTCATTGTACTTATCTCTAACGCCAGCATGCTTCCAACACAATTGAGTCCCTCTTTGTGGAGGCTTTGCTGTAAGGCATTTAGGCAGAGAAAATAAATAATGAACTTTCAGAATTCCCTCATAGATTTGCAAGGAAGCAGAATTGAGGCAAATCTGGGTATTTGTGTCTGGGGTTGAGGCAAAGAGAAGTTTCTTCACTGTGTTTGCAGGAGATGTTGAGCTCACTAAAGAGCTGGTTACAGGAGAAATACACCAGAAGGTCTCACTCCTGTTAATGTTTTTGAATACATGTCTGTATCACTTAAAATGACACTGCAGCAAGGCAAGTTTGAGAATGCTTGCCCTGTCCAGGATGTAAGCTGAGGAACAGGTATTTACTGCTAGAAAAAGTGATGAGGAATTCTTAATGTTGGGGAGCAAGAACAAACTTAGCTCAGAATATCTCTGCAAGGAGAAAACTTCCAGTGCATGTTGTTATCCCATGCAAATGGGTAAGAGCATATTCAGAGACTCCTCGTTCCGGTTTTAGACCTAAATCCTTCTGGAAAACAGTATGTGTCTTAGGAATCCTGGATGCAAAATCATCATGCTTCTGCTTGGTCCTGTTAAACTGCTGAATTAATCAAGTACAATTGCTTAAGGCCCTGCAGGGAAGGATGTAATAAATCTTGGGAGTATTTGTTCTGGTTTATGGCTGGGAGAAGCTGCATAACATTAAATCAGATGTTACAAACATTTGCAGTGGCACATTTTCCTTCCTCTGGGCATTGTGGCATGAGTCTTGAGAAACTAACGAGATTCTGTCCTGAGGGATGGATGCGTTTCTTCTTACTATTGACAATGGGCATTGCTTTGCAAGGGGTGGCGTTGGGCCGGGCTGCTGAGCTGTACCCCCTGCGCTGTCGGGTAGAGGGCAGTCGGATACAGCAGACGGTGCTGGGATCCCGGCTCCGGGCTGAGCTTCCTGCCTGCTTCCTGGCTCCCCCGTCCGTTCCGAAGTAAACTTTCACTTCATTGGAGAGACAGAGATAGATTCATTGTACCTGGGCTCTGATGCTCCTCCGCTGTTGGACAAATAGCTGTTGGTATGTGGAGCTTCTCCTTCGTGCTGCGAGCAGGATCTAGAGAGACATGTAGCAACCAGCTGGAAAGGAATTGTCCTATCTTAATTATGAGTTGAAATGGAGCTGCCTGGAGTTGTTTTCCTCTCCGCAGTGGGGAACTGCCCCAGCACAGTGTGCCGAGCAGAATGTGTGCTGTTCTCATGCACACAGCACATCCTGCCCTCTGGGACCTCGGTCGCTGGAAGCGGTGCGGAGGCAGATCCTCTTTCCTCAGGAAAGATGTGTGTCTGCCCTCCAGCAAAGAGACCTTTGTCCCTGCTTCAGGGAGCAGTGAACTGGCGAGTTCTCGTCTCCCTATTTGCAAGTAGCTAAACAAGCTGTTTTGCACCGTGCTTGCTCACTGCATGCTTTGCTCGAACCCTTCAAGGCTGCTTGGGACCTTAGCCATGTAAATGGTGTCAACCTGGATGAGGGGTCAAGGCTGGACCCCTCTTGTTGCAGGGAGGGAAGGGTAAGCTGAAGTGTCTGCTCCAGCCAGTGAAGGGTGAGGAGCTGCTGCTTCTGCCCCACGCTCCCTCTGCAGCAGTCGCTTGCTGACTTGCTGGGTGAAGCCGGCAGAAGGGCTGTGATTATTGCATTGCCCTGGTAGTCCACTGCCTTAGACCTGGTGCCATGAGCTGGTGGTAGCTGGAGCTCTGAGGTCAATGCCAGAACCATGCTGCTCCTCAGGGAATACCAGTCTCCTGTGGTACAAGGTTTTCTCCTTGCTGAGATGTTTGAGAGCCTCTGGATGATGGGAGGATGCAGCTGCTTGAATTGCTTGAAAGGGTCACTTGTGAAGTGGACATAAAACCCGTGTTTCAGAACTTGAGCTTTTATTGTTCTGTTAGTTTAAAGGAAGGTAGAAGATGAAAAGCAACCAGTTTCTTGTGGTTGGGAAGAAGCCGGTGATCCCAGTATAAATCAGCATGTTGTCATAAGTCTGAGCCTGCAGCCAGCCTGAAAGGAGAAGTGAGCTGCCCTGTTTACCTCGGGGCTATTTAAAACACATCAGTACTGTCCCTTGGCTTACTGCTGAAAGGTGTAGCCGTTACTTCAAGCATTTTGGTATTCCATGGCCACGTTGTCTCTGGGCATTCAGAGAAAACATTCGCTGTCAAGGCTGAGGTACTGCTCACCCATCTCCTTGGATTGCAAGCCCGGGACCCATGGGATTGCCTTGCCTGTACCAATATCAGATCTGGTCCCAGTGCTTTTGCATGTGCTGGGCCATCTCACCCAGCTTCTGTGGGCTCCCTAGGCCTTTGCAGGAGCTGCTTCACACTTACTGGGCAGTGTGTCAACAGATAAAGCATCCATGCTTTAAAAATGTAGTTGAAAACGTAAACGCTGCAGGACAGAGCTGCATGTGGGGGCTCTGCTGCCACACATCTTGCAGTGACTGCAGTGTAAATCACACCCGCAGAGCATCACAGTGCAGGAGCAGCCTGCCACAAGAGCCTTGCAAACACCCGACCAGCCGGCTGTTTCCCAGCTGGAGTTGGAATCTCATTAGGAAAGTGCTCCCTGCTGAGGGGCTTTTACTCATCAGAGCGATATTTGTGTCATGTTTCCTATTGGATTGGTGAGAGCATGGTTCATGAGCATCTGAATGTGCTTGGGCAGCGGAGGGACCGTCCCCTCTCTGGCTGGGCAGGAGCAGCAATGCTGAAATGCCTCAGAGTTTGTCTATTGCAGCCTCGTATCCAAACAAATGCATTCCCAGCTCTGGTGCTGGGGATGCTGCTGGTGCCCATGGGCTCCCATCTCTCTGCTCCCCTGTGCCTGCCCTGGCATCTGGACTGCCTGGACCATGTGTGTGCATCTCCTGCATGGTGCCTGGGTTGTAAGAGCTCAGCACTTCCCTGGTTTTGTTTGCAACAGCTGTGGAGAGCACAAGGCCACACCACAAAGTATAATTATTTTTTTATTAGAACAATTTCCTGGGAAGCCTTTTTTTTTTTTTTTTTCCTTTCCCCCCCCTGTTTTTCCTTCTGTAATGTTGCTTTAGGTTTTAAGAGGGGAAGGAAAATAACAGTCTAGAGAAAATAGATTGGTGGGACCATGGTGTATAACACTACAACAAAGGGCATTCAACGAAATTAGAAGGTGGCAAATTCAAAACAGATCAGAGGAAGTGCTTTTATATGTGTGCCCAGGCTGAGAAGCTCCCTGCCACAGGAGATAGTGATACCAGCAATGCAGTGGGTTTTGGAAAGGGCCAATGTTTGGATGGGCAGCATGAATGCTGAGACCTACTGAGGTTGAGAGAGGGTGCATTGTGTTAATTGGCTAGAAATACTAAGTTTTCAGGCGAAAGATGAGCTCTGATTATCACACTCTGGATCTGAAGTGGGGCAGGTTACCTCAGCACCTAGTGGGGCTCCAGGAGCAGAGCTGAGCATCCCTGAGGCAAACCAGTGATGCCAAAGAGAGCCTGCGACAGCACCAAAGTATGAGCACAGGTCCCCTGAGTGCTAGCCATGAGGCCACCCTCACTCACAGCCAGGCTCTGGCTTTCAGAGGTGTTCTTCATATGGGCAAGGTGAGCACAGCTTGGCTACAAACACTCTGGACTTGCCTTTGGTGAGGGATCATAATCATGTGCCAAGAAACTTGGGGTTTACTCCTCTGCTTCAATGTTGCTATAAAAATAAATCTCTTTGGAGATACCCATAATAGTTAATGGATGTCTTGAATAGAGGGTGTTTTTTTCCTCCTACTGACCTAATAAAATGTATTGTTTTTTCTCCCAGGTATTTTTATGTTAGCAGGCAGTGGCTGCGGGTGGAGGAGATCCCTTTCTAAGTGCTATGAAATTACCCTGCATGGAGACCCTCTTGCCAGCCACTGACCTCAGGCCCAAGCAAAGCTCAAATGTAATGCTTGTCCTGATGGTCACCATCCTGGGCCAGGAAATGCGGCAATGTGTTTGGATCAGGGAACAGCAGCGTTCTCCCCTTATGATTGTCTGATTTATTGTGTGTCTGTTAAAACAATACTTCTGGACTCGTTTTTAGATTTGCTTAAGAAAAGGGAGAAAATGAAGATGGAACTGGCGCTCTGGGCTTGACAGGCATAGCACAGAAACCAGTCCCCACAGACTTGATGCTGAAAGTCACACTGAATGTCTGGATCCAGCGCTCCTTGCAGATCATTTTTCCATCTGCTTGGGAAAGTCACCACTGCACTCTCCCAACAGCTGATGTGGGGATGCAGCCAAAGCTTCCTTCTGGCAGCCTGCACTGGCAAGGGCTCTGGGTGCCCACCACCATCAGGATCAGATGTTGTCAACCCCGCCCCCCCCCCAAATACCCACGAGTGTAGGAAGGGAAAAGAAACTGTTTTCCTACCTGCTGAGGTACATCACTGCTGCGGTAGCAGTGAGGCAAGGGGCTGAGTGAGCTCAGCCCTGCTCAGGACGTCTCCACAGAGCATGTGGTGTCCAAACGTGCTGCTTCAGCACTAGGAGGGCATGCGGGCTGGAAAGATGGTATTCACCACAGAGATATGCAGCAGCAGCAATGGAATAAGGACTTTCTGTGCCTTAATGCTGGTGTGCTTCACCTATCACAGTCTCAAATCCAAACAAAGAGAATCCTGGCTCTGGTGAAGCAGCAAACAGAAGCTGCCTCTTCCTTCTGCTCTGCAGAAGTCAAAGGAAGTGATCGATTAGCTGATCCAAGCTAAGGCATTAAGTACAAAGAATCTTTGCATCAGCCCCATTTTCCCCCCACCCTTTCTTCTCCAGCAGATGATTTGTGCATGTGGCATGTTTTCTTTGGAAATGACTCGTGTGATGTTGGATTTTGATTCTCTTCTCTGCAGCCTGCCGGGTTTTGTGCTGTTTTCTAAGTGCCCTGCATTTAAACAGCTTGCCCTGGCTGCCGTGCTATTGTTCTGCACACATGTGCTATCGCCGCTATTGCTGCCGGACTGTTTGTCTTTTGATTCCATGTGGCTTGAAGATTAAGCCTCAATGAGCAGCACTGTTAAGTTCACATGAGTTTTCCTCATCTCTCTGCCTGGCAGGTGACTTTGGCATCGTTGTGCTCTATGGGGGTATGCACTTAGGAAGTTCACAGGGTTCTTAGCTCTCCTTTCCTGGCAAATGATCTGTAAACACACTCCCAAAGCCAAGCAGTTGATTTCCCTGTTGTCCTGAGGGCCACACGCTGAGGATCAGCTGTGTGCCACGTTTTCTTCCCCCTTCAGAATAACGGGGGATTTCAAGGGGGTGGATCGTCATCCATTGTTGGATACCAGTTCTGTCGTTTTTCCTTCTCCGCCGAAAACAGCCGACAGGAAAGTAATTACAGGAGCAGATGTGACTTGTGACGTAAATGTTACTTCTGGCCTTTTTTCCCTTTAAGTAATCCAACAGGGTGATTCCAAAGCAGCAGTGAGACACATGGGCCTAGGGTGGTCATTTCAAGCTTTTCCTTGACTCAGGCAGGTCCAGGGACAATTTGAAACACCTTAAAAGACATGTTTTCAAATGAAATTACCAAGTAAGTCACATTTTCAGAGCAGCTTCAATATGTGCGTCCTGCATAACTGCCTGCATGGATCCCTTCTCCCTATCCACTGCCTTACTAACGTCTGTCCGCAGCAAGATACTGAAGTGTAATTACTTTGGAGTAACAAATCAGTGAGCATTTTCACGTTTCTCTTAAAGACAAGTTAATTCCATAATCTTGACATAAAGCTGAATTAAACTGCTTAGATCTTTGAAATCACCTTGTTTTCAGGATGTCACATAATTTGTTCTGAATCAGATGCAGCTGTAACAGACTTTAATTCCTAATGAACTCACCTGGCAACATCTACCCAAAGCTCACATGGAAAATGGATGCAATGGCTGTTACTGAGTGGTGGACTATCAGTCGGCGGTGGGGCCAGGAGTAACAGGTACACATCTCACGTGGGGTCAGGTACCAGTGCACATCCCAGGAGCAGAGAGGGCATGCCTATGGCTCACCTTGTCACTGCACAGCATCCTGGGGTCCCTCTCCCTGCCTGCAGACACTAGTAGCAGATATTGTGCCCCCTCAATGCCACAGTTAAGGCTGTGAATCTTCATTTATTTCATACCCTTTGATGGCAAAGGTTTTGCTTTCGTGTTCTGGAGGGGTGGCTGAGGAAAGGATGTTGGCAGGAGTGGCCACCAGCGTGCTGCAGCTCTGAGTGGCACCTATATATGAGGGCTGACTTCATCTCATGTTAAGTTATTCATATGCTCTTATTTCTGGCCAGAAAAACGTTCTAAAACATGCCCTGCCTCATTACCAGTTCCCACCCAGGGACCTCCTTTCAACGTCGCCAAGCTTCCTAGCACCTCACCACAGAGACCAGTGGGGACACAATAGCTCTGGGGTGTTTATTTCGTTTCACTTTTCCTCTCCCCTTGGCCAGCAGCCAGCAGAGATGTTCTTTGCAAAGATAATAGTTTCAACTTAATCATTCACCTCTTATGTGTCTAAAAGGAGTTAAGGAGACTGGAAGTTTCCAAGAAAAATAAATGAACAGAACTTGTTTGAGGGGGCCTCCTTAAGGCTGTTTTATTGATTGAAAGAAAGGGAGAAGCAGCAAGCTGTTCCTGCACATCACCCATGCCCTATTTATTTCCTTAAATGCCTGTTTAAATGTGGGTGGAGAGCTGTGAACAGAAGGATTATGAAGTGTTTCTCTTTGCGGAGGGATTTGCAGTTGTTCGGAGAGACGGCTCCAATGCAGAATTCTTGTCATGTTCATTTTGAGGGTTGCAGAGCTGGATCTGACGTTGGGGGACTCCATCCTAGGCCTGTGTGTGGGTGACAAGCAAAAATGCACCCATTTATTTGGGTTTGGTTGTATTTAAGGGGACTGTAACCCTGTCTGGTTCCTTTTGAGGGTTGGTCATCTCTGTCACACCCTAAAGGTCTGACGTGTCAGAAAGCTGGAGGACCCAGTCCCTTAATGATGGATCTCATTGTGTTTTCTCTAGTTAAGCAGTCACTATCACCAATTTCTTTTGCAATTAAGGCCTTTGTTTAAGCCATAAAACCCCCAAACATCTTCCTTACACCTGCCCTGGCTGAGGAACAGTGATTAAAACCCCGTATCTTATTCACTCACATCTCCTGTCCATAGAGCTGTTAAAAAAATGCATGTATTTGGGAACTGTTGATAAAACAAAAGGTTTCTCTTTCAACATTTCACACTCTCCAGTTCCACTGAAAACCTGAAAAATGGGATGTTTTTGGTGAAGAAGCAAGAGAAATCCCTGCTCGCTTGTGGTTGGGGGTGCATTAAGACAGCAGCAATAGGCTTGAATCTGAAGAATGAGCTCCTAAATCGTATGACTTCAGGGGAATCTGGACTTCCATTTAACCACTAAACCAAAAGCAACATCACAGTTCAGCCTAAGTCACCAGAGCGTGCCCTGGGAAGAAACAAATGCTGGAAAGACTGGAGGAGCCCAATGGGTTGTCCTGGGCTCAGGGCAGGGAGTGGACAGAGGGAGCTGCTTTGTCCCCACTCAGGTTTCCTGGCTCTCTGGTGTGAGGTGGTGGGTGGCTTCTCCAGAGCATCTCCAAGAGGAGAGGTTGTTCCTGATGCTACTGTCCCTTCAGCCAGAGGTGGGAGAGGCACAGCATGCAGCTGTAGAGCCATGGCAAGGGAACAGCATGCAGTCCACAGTGGGAATCTACTGTAATCCAGTCAAACCAGTAATATGGACAGATCCCTCCTCCCCTACTGTGTCTATCTGTGTTTCCCCCTACCTTCACAGAAGCTCCCCTCTGGAAAAGAGTGAAATACATGAATCCATTCCTCCCCTTTCGTCCTCCCAGCTCCATCCTCTGAGCAAGCTGTCAGTGCAGTGCTCTGGGCTCTCTCATCAGCTTCCCTTCGCCCACACATGCGTATATGTGAACATACACGTACTTGGCATCCTCTTCTTGCAAGTATGGAGGGTCTCTGCCTGATCCCACCTTTGGAAAGAGGGCTTTCCTGTGGGTACAGATTGGAGGACTCAAATCTCCATAAAATAGTGGAAAAAGGAATAAAGTTGTAACTGTCATCACCTATTCAGACAAATTCCTGCAGTGCAGGCATCCATTTTCCAGCCTTTGATGACTAGGGGGGAAAATTACCTTGCCAGGTGGAGTGTGATTTCTAGCTCTTCTCTTTGGCAAATGAAGGGGCTGAATTTAGCACATTTGGAGTGAGATGGAAGAGAAACATCCCTCCTTCTCCTCCCCTCTTCTTCCTTCTCCCCCTGGGCAAGCTGCACCCTCCTTGTTAGAGAACACATCTTCACAGACGTGCTGATTTTCATAAGGCCATGAGGAGGCTCTGGGCTGGGTCTTGTTTCCCTTCCCCCTCGCCGAGTGCTCCAGTAACCACACATAATCCAAGCACTTTTTGCATGAGTCAGATAGGGGTTTTTTTAAGAACTAGAATCCAATGGACGTTTCCCTCGCTGATACCACTGGGACTAGAAGGTCTTTTTTTTCCCACCAACCTTAAAAACATGCTGATATACTGCATTTTTTCCCCTTTTCACTATTTTGTTGTTATTAAAGCAGCACCAAGTCCCACAGCACCAAAGGATGGGATCTCTCTTGCTCTTTTCTCCCTTACTCAACAACCAAGGAAAATAAAAAGGGTAATTATTCATGAAAGAAGACACTGAGGGACATTTGGACCATCCCTGATGGCTGGGCTGAACTAGGGGTGCTGGCAGGGCAGGATGAGCCCATGGCATAGGTTCCTATCTACAACAACTGAACTACTCCCACCCTGGGGTGCAAATATGAGAAGGGGGAAGAGCCAAGGATTAGCATCCCATCTTCACCACCACCCTGCTGACTGGTCATGCTGGGCACAACCTGCACTTTTCTGAGACCTGAAGCATCCGACTGAGGCTGATGCACATCAGCGAGTGCCTGGTGAAGAGTAGAAAATGCCTTAATGAAAGCAAAGGTAGCAACCTGCAGTCCCTGTGTAACCCAGAGTCTTAGTCCTGGACACAAACAGAAGTGTCAAGGGGGTGAGCTCCCACACGGAGGTGTCTGAAGCCAAGGAGAGCGGTTTCACAAGGGTTGGCACCAGCTCTGGTTGCAACATAAGGTGGCACAGACAACCTGCATGATCTCCCATGCTGGAAACAGCTCTGTGGTGGATATCTAGAAGAGATGCTCAGCAGCAGCTCGGATGACCCAGCCCTGAGCTTCCCCTAAAACCACAAGCAGCATATGGGAGCCAATGCGTGCTTTCTCATGTGAATCCCAACAAGTTCAAATGAACAGGTTTGAGGCCACGGTTCCCGTCTGATGTTGACTGCTTGATGTGATTATTCAACCCTGAATTCCTTCAATTGACAGCCACGCTATTTCCAGTCTCTTAGTCAGCATCCACCACTCCGCTTCCCAGTCTGATGAGACCTGGATTTTCCCACACTCCCCGTTAAATGGAAACACATTGTTCATCTTCATTTTATTTATTTATTTGGTGCAGAAAAACAAGATAGTGCTCTAACTTTGAAGTGTTGGCTCTACAATGGTTGGTTCCTCTTCGGAGCAATGGGTTTTCCTAAAAGCCTCTCTCAGCAAGATCGTTATCAAACTTTCCTTAGCAGGAGACAATGAACATTTCACAGCATGAAGAGGAAAAAGCCAAAAAGGCTGGTGAGAAGACAAATGCTCTATGTGAAGAGATAGCCAGGATGCAGATGAGCTCCCACAGCCTTGTAAACACAGGTTATTTTCTGGTCAACCTACAGTTTCTGAGCGTTTCACTCATTGAATTAGCTCTGGAGTTTATTGAAAGGTGAAAACAGGGACCTAAGTATTATGTGGACACTTCCATCTGGGACCCACAAACCTCACTCTGATGTGTCCAAATACGAAGATCCTCCCTGTCTGCAGTGCCAGGGGTGGCAATTAGGAAGGGATCTGGGGGGACACATGTGCCTCTGCAAGCTGCTGGGGGTGACTTTCCATGACAGATCTCACTGGGACCAGTTTGTTTCCTAGTGGGCTGTGAAACCAGCGGGTGACCTGCGTGGTGACAGAGCACCTTCCCATGTCCTGAGGTGGTAGGGAGAGAAGGAGACAAAGGAGACCTTCTGGATGCCAAACCCAATGATGGTGAAGGGGTACCATCTTCTCCCTCAGCCTGCCTAAAACCTCCCCTGTGTCAGAAGGGTACCAAAGGATGCTCTGAGCTGGCATCACCTTGAGACCTGACCTCTCCTAAAAATGCCACTGGATTTTGATGCTGGGAGATGAGCAAGCACAGTAAAGGGCCATTCCTGCCAGGGACCTGCCCAATTCAAACTGTACCCACCAGCTCAGCTCATCTCCATCAGAGCCTGCATGGGGGCAGCGGCCAATGTTCCAGGTCCAAGTAGGGGCTTGGGTGCTGGTTTTGCTGGGGGCCATCACTGCTTTGCTCTGGCTGTGTCGGAGCAGCTCGTGCAGGCGGATGGCAGCTTTGTGTGGAGGAAACGTGTCGGCTGGCGTCTGCCATGGGTCTTTTTTCCCTTGTAGCCTAATTGTACTTTTAATTATTTGGCGGATGGTTTCGAGCCAAGACTGTGCAATCAGTCAACGTTTGTTAGTTAAAATAGAAGTAAACAGTGGGCTATATAAACAAAGGAGCGCTCTGGTTTATTGCCCAGGGATAACACCAGCATTGTTGCGTGGATCCTTGTCCGAAGGCTTTGAAGATTGCTTGCTCTATTTATTTGTCTAAAGATGGGTAACTTTGTTCTATTTGCTCAGCCTCTTATGAGCTTGAATAGACAAGAGGTAACGTGCGGTAAAGGTGGGTCTGGCTCTGAAGGAGCCTGGAGGGAAAATATGTTCTTGGATTCTGATCTCATCCCAAAAATATTCCACATTTCAATACCCTTAGATAGCTTACACGTTGGAAATGCCAAGGAACCAGAAACTTCCTCTCCAAAGTCAACTCTGCTTTCATTAATAATTATTTTAAGACATCACTCAGAGAACCAAACAGTACTATATGGAGCAGAAAGAGACCCGTGGGGAACTGGGGACTGAACAGGAGTTCAGCCCACCATCCTGTCTCTCACACCGGATGTTGAAGATTAGCATCCTGAGATGCAGACGAGGTGTTCAGGTGAGGTGATGGTGTGGGACACGATGAAAGGGAGGAAGGAGAGCTGCCCTCCACGTGATACCAGCAACAGCAGAGCCAGGGGAAAGCAAGCAGTGGGATGCTCAGGGCTGTACATGCAGGGCTGTGCAGCACAGCCTGAGGAGCACATAGAGTCATAGAAGTTCCTGTGTGATGTACACTAGGTTACCCTGCTCTTGCAGGGGGGTTGGACTAGATGATCTTTTGAGGTCCCTTCCAACCTTTGGGATTCTGTGATTCTGTGAATGGTTTGAGTTGGAAAGGACCTTAAGATCATCCAGTTCCAAACCCCTGCCATGGGCAGGAACACCTCACATTAGACCATGTCGCCCAAGGCTCTGTCCAACCTGGCCTTGAACACTGCCAGGGATGGAGCATTCACCGCTGCTTTGGGCAACCTGTTCCAGTGCCTCACCACCCTCACAGTAAAGAACTTCTACCTTATATCTAACCTGAACTTCCCCTGGTTTAGCTTGAACTCATCACCCCTTGTCCTAGTGCTGCAGTCCCTGATAAAAGTACTCCTAATTTCTTCAGGTAGTAGAGATGTGTGCTTGACCCCATTTCCCTATGGTAAAACCAAGCTGCAGAACATGAAGATGCACATTTTATTGACCACTATGGGTCTTCTTTCAGACATGACCTTTCCTTGTTTTCCTGCCATAAAGTCACTGCCCATGCCTGTAATCTGCTTCTACAAATCCTGTAGATTGTTACAAGTAGTATTAAATTTATCACTTCTGTATGCAACGCCCCAGTCCTGGCAGCACGTTTTGAAAGCACAACAGCAACAAGAAGCATATGTTCTGAGAGTCAAACTAGTGGGATTTTTTGTATTGCCAAGGACAATAATTTTTTTCCCCCTTTTTTTTAATTCAAAATAAACATCACGCTGGAATGTGCTGCAGCAAATGGCTTGGGCTCTATTATATTTCATGCAGCTTTCTAAACAATTTTCAACCCTGCTGGCCCGGTGTCAAACAGAAGGCAACCAACAATAGCAAAATCCCATTAAAGCTGAGAAGGTTCCTTCCTGAGGTGAACACGGCCAGAAATAGTAATCTTGGCTCTCTTTTCAATTTGGCATTGGGGACTAATAATGCCTGTTCTCCTAATGGAAATTATCTAATTTCATCCAAATGCAGCTCCAGAGAGAGCTGGGCTGACGCACAAACAGTCAATATAACAACATTCTTCTTGAAGAGCTGAACAATGGGGCTTTGGTGGGACCGTGATTAACAACGTCAAACTAAGAACAAACAGAAGGTGTAAAAATAGGCATCTGAGGAGCTGACACAACGGACTATTTTTCATCTGTATAGCCAGAGGAGAATAGCTTGTTAAATTGTATGCTTGGAGCACTTCATCAGATGTTGTGTGGAAGGACAAAAAGAAAATATCCCATTTCCCATCTGGGTCTGAACATACTGAGGAACTGCACATGCTTTATTAATACAAATCACGCTAGGAGTATAATTCCCATTAGCATTAAATAACCATTTTTCAACTAAATACTCCTGCACTAGGAACACCTAACGGGAAATAATGATGTTTGCTTCATTTGAAGAGAATAGTAAAATACAGT